ACAAAGTAGCACTGCCCGCGGTCATGGTCAAAAATTTCTCCTCCAGCAGGTGTCTGAGCTCTGAGGAAAGCACAGCATCTACACGAATCCTCTGTCTCCCTAGCTCCAGCTGTGCCTTATGAATCTTCTCCCAACAGAACTGTAAGCCTCACAGGCCAGTGCTGTGTATTCACCCCAACATTCTTCATGTAACCTTTGCAACCAGGGTTAGAAGCAAAAGGCTTCGCAACTAGGAACTTCAAGACCCACATTTGGTGATAATTTTCTTATAGGTGAAAAATTGTAACAATAAAATAGCCCTTATTTTTCCACAGGCTCTTGCAGAACATGCAGGTACATTCATCCATAAATCTGGCTCCTCACAAAAGTACGAATCCCAGAAGGGTTCATACACTTAACGTGAACACCAGAGGCTTGATTTAAGAGTCAGCAGAATGGCCACTGCATTCATTTCATAGGTCCTTCAGAAGCAATGAAAACCTCTCTTTTCCCAGGCTATGATATGTTGAGCTACTTCTTTAAATACTTATATCTAAGAATATGTGGAAAACAGAATTCTCTTGAAGGCAAAAAATACATAGTCTTCTCTAGACCTCTTCTGAGTCTGCCTTCTTCCCTCTTTTCTCTGTTCATCCTTGTTTTCCTTCACTTTTTCTTTTTCCTTCTTCCATTTACTTTCCTTATTTCTTCCAATAATGAATTAAATAAATGTGATTCAGTATCACTCTGTATCAAGCATTACTCTGGATGCTAGGGTTTCAGTAATTAATAATAATGATAATCATCATCATCATCCCTCAAGAAATAGTCTATGCAATGGGGCACAGTCAACAGCTGGGCACTTATAGTATGCTAAATGTGGTAGTAGAGCTTGGGCCTTGACACCTTTAACAGAAAACCAGAGGGAGCAGGCAAGAAAAAAAAAACATGGAGGACCTCCTGTAGGAGGCTAACTCTTAAAATATAGATGAAATGAAAGTAAGGTAAAGGCACTCCAGGCATAGGCCATGGCATGGACGAGGACCCAGGGAAGGACTTAGGTACTCTGACAAAAATAATAAGCCATTATGTGTACTATTGATTTTAAGGCTTAGACAGGTGGGAAATGAGTCAAGAGAGAAAAGAAAGGTCATGATGGGTCTTTTTTGGCCAAATTTAGAAGCTTGGGTTTACCATGAATGAAAGGATGCCATGCCTTTAAACATTGAAGAATGTTTAAAGGAACATTTAAATGGGAACGGTACAACCAGATACGGGTTTAGAAGTATTCCAACTGCATAACAAAGAGTCTCCTGGGGAAGGCTGGCTGAAAACAATGAGCCCAGGTAACCACTCCTACCTATCTGGATTATGTGTCATCTATGGGGATTTTTCCTCGTGCTCCTTGGAATGATTCCAACTTTTCCTAATTCTATATCCATTGTACCATGTATGCATCTTAAGTGTTAAACATTTACTTGTGTGTTTATTTGCCAAATATATACCTCTTCCTAGACTATCACTGGACTAAAAGCTTCATGAAGGTAGAGATTGATTTTATGTGCTCACTCTACTAAAGTGTTTGGTATGCATAAAACAATGTTGAATACATGGATTTTTGAATGGTGAAGACAGCTAGAGGATATTAGTATAAAAATATTTAGAAAAAGAAAGGCTATAGTCTGGTGAGTATTCTGTATGGGGGAATGGAAGATGCTAAAAGCAGTTGGCTAATTCATGTGGGATATACTTATTTAACATGAGATATACATAATTTACCAATAAGCAAAACCTAGATATTTTTGACATCATGTGGCTTTCAATCTGGTAACAAAAAGTCATTTTTCATTTATATGCAAAGAGATTTGGATCATCTCAGACACCCTTCTCCTCATTCAAATTTTGTCTGCACTATGGAAATTTGCCTCATTATTTTCAAACAAGTTTCTCATAAAAAGCCATACTCAATTTTGATCAACACTATGTAAAAAAAATATAAAGAATGCTAGGAAAGCATCTAAACAGAGGTTCAGCCTAGTCTGTAAATGAAAGCAAAGCTCTTTAAGGCCGGTGGCTCCATGCTGAATACAAGGTTAACAGGGTTAATTAGACAAAAAGGGAAGGCAAAAGTTCTAAGTGGATGAAACAGCATGTGCTAAGGCCCAAAGGCAACAGATGCACAACAGTACAAAAGACCGGCAGTGAAGAAGATGGAAGAAAATGTGATGAAGCTGAAGGGTCATACTGTATGTACTCACAGGGCTGCTGTTGTCATCAGCTAAGATGGCTTGGGGAGATTTATTACTTAAAAGATTTCCTATAGGAAGTTTAATGTAAAAGGGGAGGGGAGACTCTTTATTCACAAGGCTATGAAAAGATAGTTAGTAGATAAAACTACTACTAAATACTTGGCTGCCCAGTAAAGATTTGTAGAGTGAGAACAGCACTGGTATTTGAGAGAAGTTGTGGAAAGAAACAGACATGATGCAACATAAAATGAAGATGCGCTAGAGAGAAATGAAAAGCCTAGGCTGGTCATGAAAGGAACCAGGAGATAAGCATGGAGGCCTCTTTAAGAGGGAGAGCATGGCACCTTCTACCGGCATATCACTGAGCATTTGAGCAGGTGAAGCTTAAGAGAGATGACCCCTGAATGGGAAGGGAAGAAATGTGAGGAACAGGAAAGGCAAATAGGATTATTTAAGTCATTTGACTTGAAAGCAATAGGAAGAAAGAGTTTCACAACCAAGAAAATAATTTTCAGGCAGGGGCTAGAGAGAGAGAGAGATTGATTTCATTTTATTTGTACATCCAGAGTATGGGCCTAGTAGAAAATGAGTGATAAAAATTGGCTGTTTTTAATAGGACAATAAGTTATAGAGTCAGTTCAGGAGCATCTGAAACCCAAGAGATCTATAGGAATTAATGAGAAAAGTAAACAGTAGGCACTGTCTCTCTTCTCTAGCTTCCCTTAGAAGGACATGTGACAGGCACAGAGACATCAAAGGTCATGCAGAGAATTGGAGGCAGAGTGGATGCATGATGCTGCTTTCCAGCAGGACAGCTTATTTTCTCTAAGCCCAAGGATGTGACAGGCACTTAACCTCATGGACTAAAGTGATCTGGTATACCAACTTGGGACAGTGGTATCCCACAGTCCTAGAACAATTTTTTAGACACAATTTGAGACAAAGTTCTTGGATTTTTATTCCATAAAGGTGTAAAGCCAAGATGGAGAAGCTGGGAGGTTGTAGCCATTGCCTGCGAGCCAGTGTCCCTGGTTCCAGAGTGAGGGCTTCAGAGACAAATCAGCATCAGCAAGGCTTATTATTCATGGAAAGGAGTATACAGTAGGATTTGAAGGGTACCCATGGCAGTCACTGCACTCCTTGCCAAGGGCTGCCCACTTTCATTTTCTTTGGAAGGAAAGCATGCATAAATAGATAGATAGATAGATAGATAAATAAAATCCACAGATAGTAAAATTCTTTTCTTTTTTTTCTTTTTCTTTTCTTTTTTTTTTTTTTTGTACAGTTCACTGAGATGAAAAAAGAAAAAAGTATTGTGGGATGAGATTTGAGGGTCCCTCAATAGGGACTCAGAATCATATAAAGACTTTGCCTCTACTCTTGGGGAATTCATAAAGAAACCAAAAAGATAAAGTTTTTTGTCAGAAGTCAGTGATATGATAAATAATGGTGCAAAAGATTGTGGGGGATCAGGAAAGGTACTTAGTGTTTTGACATCAGTTCATATGAGAGTTTTAAGTGATGTCTCTGTTTTATTTGTCCATCCTTACTCTTGGAACCTTCTGGGTGGAGAAGAAATTGCCAAACAGTGTCCGTGAGCTCCTGGAGTGATCACTTTCCCCAAAGGATGCTTCTAGATAGTGAACTTCACCTAAAGCTTTACAGACCTGCAAATTCATTTAAGTCAAGCTAAGCTCCCCCTGATTGGTAAAGCTTGCATTTTCCTATCTGAAGATACATACTCAAGAACTTTCTTACAATCTGGCCAGGCTTCCTTCTATCTCTACCTCTCCCCACCCACAGTTCTCTAGACATGCAAAAGGCCTTTGCTTATGAAGCTTCAAACCTCTTCCTGATTTATACTTTCCCCAACCCTACCTGTGGACCAAACATGGATCTCTTACTTATCACTGGCTTCCGGCCTTCAGGCCCACCTATCCATAAAGTACAAAGCGTCATGGAAAGAAAGTCAGTACAGTGGGCATCAGTCCCTCTCTGAGGGCAGGAAGGAAGCCTGCACCCACCTCTGGGCATTTGGTGGTGAATCACCTACAGAAGTGCACTCCCCCACACCGGACACAGAAAATGCAAAAGCCTGTCCATCACAGAACTTAGTTCAAAACCTCAGCCCATAGAGGCCACCTTCATACTCAGCCACTTGTCCTTCCCAATCTTTCTTTCATGCATGATCTATGGAGGCAGCAAATGACATTCAATTTGGTCAAAGCCTCAAGACTTTATGTAAGGAATTTTTCTTAGTTCCTGTGGTTATTTTCCTAGTCATTTCTTCAACTCCTCTATGCCTGTGTGCTCCTCCAAGGGATTTCTACCATAACACAGAGATTCCAAATTAATCTGGCTGTGTCTCCCAAAAAGGGTATAAATATTCATTTCTTGTTCAAGGTTACATACACAGGGCCTTGTGCTTGAGTCACCATTAGCATTTTGTTAATGTGTTGAATTGAGATGAAAGTCACTAAATACATGTAGTAGTTGCAATTCTTGGGAAAAGACAGGAGAAAGAGAGAATATAATCTTGTTTGTTTTGTTAGCCATTGCTCAATGCCCACTATAAATCAGTGGTTCCAAAGTATCAGCATTCACACAATCTGGAAGTTTCTTTGAAACACACTTAAAAAAATTCTTTGAGAATTTCCTACAGTGAATTTTTTTAATTTATTTATTTTTTATATTAATCACAGGTTATTTACTTTGTATCCCAGACGTAGCGCCCTCCCTCCTTCCCTCCCAAACCCACTCTCCCTCCCTCATCTTCTCCCTGCCCCTTTCCAAGTCCACTGATAAGGAAGGACCTCCTCCCCTTCCATCTGACCCTAGCTTATCAAGTCTCTTCAGGCCTGGCTGCAACGTCCTCTTCTGTGGCCTAGCAAGGCTGCTCCTCCCTTGGGGGGGGGAGGTGGTTCGAAGAGCTTGCTGTTGAGTTCATGTCTGAAATAGTCCCTGTTCCCCTTATTAGAGAACCAATTTGGACACTGAGCTACCATGGGCTATATCTGAGCAGGGGTTCTAGGTTATATCCATACATGGTCCTTGGTTGGAGAAACAGTTTCAGAAAAGACCCCTGTGCCCTGATATATTTGGTCCTTGTGGAGCTCCTGTACTTCCAGGTCTTACTAACTCCCCCTTCTTTCATATGATTCCTTGCACTCTGTCAAAGGTTTGGTTATGAGTCTTAATATCTGCTTTGATATACTACTAGGTAGAGTCTTTCAGAGGCCCTCTGCTGTAGGCTCCTGTCCTGTTACTTGTTTTCTCCTACATCCAATGTCCATCCCATTTGTCTTTCTAAGTGAGGATTGGTCATCTTACCCGAGTTTTCTTTCTTATTTATCTTCTTTAGGTGTATAGATTTCAGTATATTTATCCTACAGTGAATCTTGATCATATTAATCCCACTTCCCCAACTCTTCCCAGATCATCCTCCACCACCCTATCCAACCAACCCTCCATTTTGTGTGTTTGTGTGTTTGTGCATGCAAGCTAATCCATTGTGTCCAGTTTGTTTGGGCTGACTACTCCTAGAGGTGGACTCAGATGTTACACCATTAAAAAAACAACCCAACTTTTCCCCTCCTATCAGCAATCAAATATCAACAGATCCTCAGCCAGGGTGTTTTCTTTCCCTCTTCCATGCTGGGCTTTTGTATGGCTTGTGCTTGTGCAGGTCTTGTGCATTCTGTCACAATCTTTGTGAGTCTGTATGTGCACCTGATTTGGTGAGTCCAGAAAACACTGTTTCCTTGAATTCATCCACCACCTCTGGCTCTTACAGTCTTTCCACTCCGTTTCTGTGCAGATCTCTGTACCTTGAGGGGAAGAAGGGATATTTATATTCCGTTTAGCACTCCAAAGTTACTTCTCTTCATAATGAACAATTGTGGGTCTCTGACAAACACAAATTCTTTGTTCCACCCTGAATCCACTGACTTAAAAACTTAAGATATTGGATGCAATAGGTTTTTATTCAATAAACCCTACAAGTGACTTTGGTTGTGTTTCAGTTCACATTTGTTCAAATTTTAGGTCCAAGCCAGGGTGGTAGCATTCAACCATATTAATGTTATAATGAAAACATTTATATTTACATCAAGACTTTCAGCTAATGAAACGCTTCTCCTCCTCCTTCCCATTGCAGTTGTTACTAGCTTACACTAGCTGGTACAATGAGAAATGCTGTCAAACTCCATTTCAAGCATATAGTTACAAACAACCAAATCCACCTAAATGATGTGACTAAAATGATATGACAGAGTCAAAGCCAATATCTGACCCAAGCTCTTCTCCAGTAAAATAATGCCCTAGAGAAGTCACAGTTCAGGGGCCAGAGATGTGCTGACTGCTCTATAGTAAGCTTCAGTAGGGACCTGAGCATCTGTGTTTCTATGGATACTGAGTCAGCCTTTAGGATAATTTAGGACCCTAGTTTGTACTACCTGTATTGGAAAATTACAGGAGTATTTTGTGCTTGTTTTGTTTTGAGGAAAAATGCTCAGTTTGTGCCACGTCTATAAAATACACACACACACACACACACACACACACACACACACACACACACACAGATATGCAATTATGAAATCTGACTTCCAGATAGAGAGACTCTAGCACAAAGATCTATGCTTCATGCAGCAAGAGTTCTGGGAAATAGGGACAAAGCAGGCCTACCTAAAGTCTTTTACATTTGGATAGCTGTCCTATGTGTCCTGGTGTTCAGTGTCTAGACCCTAAAGAATCAAAAGGCATCAATGAGGAAGTGAGGGGCAATTTTTCTACAAAGAGCAGTATGGCCAGTGAGGGATCAGAGGAACAAGTTCAAGAGCAGGTAAGAGCCATATTTCTTACCGCCAGGGCTGGGCTGAAGGTCCCTGCAACTCATCTAACCCATGGAAAAGTACTCATCAGGACAGGTGAACTACAACAGGACAGGGAGAAGCTGTCCTGGAAGATGGACCATCATGTCCCTCACGCTTGGTGCACAGCCAGTGGCTTTTCCTCCTCACTTATTGCCCAGGACAGAGGCTCATGACCTTGTTTGTTTGTTTGTTTTAAGGGAAATTATCTGTTCTGCTGAAGACATCTTGGGCCCCTGAGGAGAAACTGAGAGGCGGTTCTGCATGTGCTAAGTCAGTGGGTGATAATGGGCACAGTGTGCCCAGCAAAGGCACTTCTTCCACTTGCTCATAAATATTGTTAGCTGATCCCACTGGCCTGGTGTCAACTTTCCCTTCTTACTGGCTGACTCTCTGTGACTTCTAACCCTCCTGTACAATACCAGCTGCTGTGCAGTAAGCTTCAGTCGGGCCCTAAGCATTTGGGCTTAGACCATTGTGTTTCACATCAACCCCTAGAGTTTTTAGACTTCCCCACCCTAAGCTAGGTCACTAGATCACGCCCTGGGTGTGAAAAGATGCTAGTCATGTCTAGGCAATGACCTGTCATTGCAGAGACAGGGTCAGCTCCAGCCATCAATCAAGAACCTACCCTGAAGCAGCAGTGATTGGAGCCCTAAGCTTTGTTTGCATCCTTGGCTGCTCTTCGAATAAGCTGAACCAATTGAGTCAAGCTACTAAAACGCTTTTTATGGACTTCATTTTGGAAATTGTATATCTCAGTCCTAAAATTAACCCACCATGGATCTTAGAGTCAAAACCATTGCAATCTAATAGAAATCTAATAGCCTCAAAACCTTTGCAGGTACAAAACCTTTGCATGGCTCAAACAGGATCTCCTTTCTCTCATCTAGAACTTCCTACCTTGAGTCTCAGCTTGGACTTTTCTAAGTACCCTTCTGTGCTTCTCTGACCAGAGCCAGGTCTATTGATTCAATAATTACCGCTCTAAGCATGGGATTCCAGAAAAGATCCTGGGGAGTGTTAATTAGCTGGGCTAGGCTCCTACTGTGATAAGCCCTGGAGGTGGGTGCAAATATGCAGATGGATTTATTCACCTTAGGGCTTCAGAACATGGTAAAGCACCTGACACACACTAGGCACTAAGTAGATAAGGGTCTGACTAGCTGTGTATGGTCGGAATGAAGTACAGAATTAGTCCAAACGGTGGGAGCCAGGTCAGGGAAACAGCCCAGGCTTGGCTTGCCATGCACTGTACTATCCCACCCCACCCCTAGCCTGACACAATGGTACTGAACTCATGGGATGTGTCCAAATGAGTTCTCAGCCTGGTGGTTTTAGTTCTTTGATCTGTGAAAGAGAGAAGATAACTTGGGGTTGCTTAGGCAAGATAGCCACAGACGGCTCAGTCCATTCTGACATATCTCAACCAGAAACTACTTCGCTTCTTTTGTGTTTGTGTTATAAAATATGGTTCTGTGTTTTAAGAGGAGCAATACAAATGGAAAGACCACTTATTTCATCCTGTACCTTTATTTTAATTAAAAGAAAAGGAAACTCAGGCAGAAGGGAGATATTTTCTCTAGTATCAACTTAAGAAAACTGAATTCTCCATTCCTACACATCTGCAGAGGGAGGGGAATGTGGGAAAGATGGCACTGATGATACTTGGCATAGAGGGCTGGGCTCCTGAGTGAGATGGAGCAGATCTAAAGGGTCCCCAAAGAGTGATGTGCTCCTTTTGAACCTTCACATGACAGATGGGGTAAGCAGCTTATAACACTTCCCAGAAGGTGTGTTTTTGAGTAAGACTCAAGTAGAATCTTTGAGGGATTCAAGTAGAGGAACAGCTAAAGGACCTGACCATATAATGACCCAGTAATGGTCAGAACTCATACTCAAGAATAATTCTCACCCAACATTTACCACTTGGTTTAACAACTGTCCCTGACAATGCTGTCTTTTCAGGCCATGGAGGGCTGAATCAGTTAGGAGGGGCCTTTGTGAATGGCAGGCCCCTGCCGGAAGTTGTCCGTCAACGCATTGTAGACCTGGCCCACCAGGGTGTAAGGCCCTGTGATATCTCTCGCCAGCTTCGTGTCAGCCATGGCTGTGTAAGCAAGATCCTTGGCAGGTAAGCACGAACTTCACCACACACCACCTTTTCTGTAAGGTTTGCTTCTGTGGTCAACCTCACAGCTGCAGGCTCATGTACCATCTGATTTTGCTTGTTTGTTTTTGTATTTATTATAGTTTTTTTTTTTGTTTGTTTTTTTTTTTTTTGAGACAGGGTTTCTCTGTGTAGCCTTGGCTGTCCTGGACTCACTTTGTAGATCAGGCTGGCATCGAACTTACAGAGATCTGTCTGCCCGAGTGCTGGGATTACAGTTGTGTGTCACTGCACCTAGCTGATTTTGTGCTTCCCAAGCCACAACTTTCAGAGTATCTGTTAGAGAAGTAGTGAGAATATTTGATGAGATTTACAGCCCAGCCCTATTAAATCAGCCCCTGAGCTAGACCTGTGGCTTTTGTAAGATGACCAGGAAGCATGACACTCAGAAACATGGAGGCTTGGGAACCATTGATCTTTAAGACTCAGTGTGGTAGTTCCCAGCTCTGTCTGTACCAGGAAACTTTAAACTCTAACAACAGATAAGAAAGCCAGGATCTAGGCTCCAACACAGAGCAATAAAAGGGAATGGACTCAAATGTATGTATAACATTAGCTTCCATTTCACCCAAGTGATTCTAATTTTCAGTTGGAGCTGAGAGCCACAGGGCACAGTTTCAGAAGGACAAGGGACACCAAAGCCTTTGATCCTTCCATCAGAAATATTAAGTAGAGAATTTGGGAATTTCAGAGTTCCATGTCCTGTCTACCTTATTCCCCAGTGCAATGTACACAGACACACAGACACACAGACCCATTCAAGAGAAGCTTTGCTTCAGGGAGATAAAGGGGCTAGAATATAAAGAGAACCCTGGCTCTCCTCCTGAAATTACTAGAGGGAAAGTTGCCTTTTCTTAGGGCCAAGGACAGAGTATTATTTAGGTGATTGTGGAGTCCCAGAGATAAGAGCTTTGAGTGCCAATGACGAAGGTGTTTTAAAAGACCCAGGCTTTGTTTTATTCATTGGCAGAAGAGACCAGAGAAGACAAAAACCAGAGTGCCTCTTGATCAAGCCACTCATCTATCAGCCAGCTAGTATGGCTAGCTTCAGATAGGTTCTGAAGGAGGAGGTTCATCTTTAGGAGCTGAATCAGGCCAGGGAGTCAAAGTAAGGCTAGACTAGAGAAGCAGCTTCAACTTGAACTACGGAACCTTGTAGAAAACCAGAGAGCAAAGGGTGAGGGAGATGGCTCAGACTTGGACAAGGCAAAGGTGGCCCAGCAAGACATCAGAAGGTTCAGTGACTCCAGCTGGCTTCCTTGAGTGAGGCCAGGAGAACAAAGGAGCAGGGTCAACCATGCTAAGAGAAGATGGACGAGAAAAACATGAAGACCTGTGACTCTCCAGGGTCAATTCTGAAACATCCTTTCTTACAAGGGAAAGCTTTGTGTGTTTTCTGATGCAAATAGAAGCTGAGCAGGAGTGGTGGGGGTCAGGGCTGGGGGTTGGAAGCATGTCTCAGTCCCATACCGCTCCTTGGGAGACTCAGAGGGGACAGAGGCTTACACCAGGTCCGTGTTCAAAGGCCCCACCTGCTTATCGGGTAATTTTGGGGGGTTCTCTATTGGAGTAGGTACTACGAGACTGGCAGCATCCGGCCTGGAGTGATAGGGGGCTCCAAGCCCAAGGTGGCCACCCCGAAGGTGGTGGAGAAAATCGGGGACTATAAGCGGCAGAACCCTACCATGTTTGCCTGGGAGATCCGGGACCGGCTCCTGGCCGAAGGTGTTTGTGACAATGACACTGTGCCCAGTGTCAGCTCCATCAACAGGTGAGAGACAGCAGT